ATAGCATTGCTTACATCACATGACTCTTGGACTAAAAGCAGAGAATACCAGAAAGATGTTTACCTGAGCTTTATTGACTTCACAAAGGTTTTTGATTGTGTGGATCATGATAAGTTACGGACAACATTGCAGAGAATGAGTACAGTGGAACACTTAATTGTGCTCATAAGGAACTTGTACATAGACCAAGAGACAGTCATTCAAACAGAATGGTTTAAAATTAGGAAAGATGTGCACCAGGGTTGTATTCTTTTACCATCCTTATTCAACCCGTATGCTGAGTAAAGAATCCAAGAAGCTGGATTATATGAAGAAGAGCATGGCTTCAACTTGGAAAATGACATTTTAACAAACTGTGATATACACAAGATACAACATTGTTTGTTGATAGTGAAGAGAACTTAAAATACTTACTTAAGAAGATCAAAGACCACAGGCTTTGGTATGGATTGCATCTCAATTTAAAGAAAACAAAAACCCTCACCACTGGAACAACAAATTACATCCATATAAAAGGAGAAAAGATTGAAGTTGTCAAATGCTTCGTTTTTCTTGAATCAGCTATCAATACTCATGGAAGCAGCAGCCAAGAAATCACAGGACATATTGCATTAGGAAAACATGCTTTATGCACAAGTTATGCAAAATATCTTTAAAGTGTGGAAGAGCAAAGATATCAGTTTGAGGACTAAGGTGCATCTGACCTAAGCCATGGCATTTTCAATAGTCTCATACATATGTGAAAGTTGGACAGTGTATATTGACAACGGTAGAAGAACAGATGCATTTGAGTTATGGTGTTGGAGAAGCGGATTAAAAGTACCATGGACTGCCAGGAGAACAAATCAATCTGTGTTGGAAGAAGTAGAATGCTCCTTAGAAGTCAGGATGGCCAGACTTCCACTCTCACCATACTTCTGATGTATTAAATGGAGGGACCATTCCCTTGAAAAACACATTGTGTTTGGTAAACTGGAGGATCAGCCAAAAAAGAGGAAGACCCCAATGAGATAGATTAGCACAGTGGCAACAGCAGTGGGTTTAAGTGTGGTAGCGATTGTGAGATTACCATAAGACTGGGCAATGTTTTGTTTTGTTGTGCATAAAATTGCTGAGTTGGTACTGACTTGAATGCATCTAATGATGAACATAGAAAACTTTGGAAATTAACTATAGGGAAAATCTAGGATCTATACTTTATGCTTCATATTTAAATGATCAACAGGAATTTTTAATGTAGGCTTATGTTCAGAAGGCTCAATTTTAACAGCAAATTCAATAGTTAAAGAAATAAAGTTGATACATATATTATGATAAAGTGAATGTATTACTTTAGAACACTCTATGTATTCCACACTCAATTTGAAGACAGTTATTTATTATTTTAAAGAAAAATATATTTTTTTTTACAT